TGGAATAACACACGCTCTATATTCCACAAGAACGCGGACGAAGCCAATACCAGAAGGTATTGGCTATATGTATATACATATCACCATTATTATTATAGTACCGGACACAATAGTTTATTTTAATTTTTATTTTAATGTCCGTCTGGTAGATTATTTTAAATCATTAGACAGGTATTTTTTATCTTCTTACAGAAACAAATACTTTCGACGATATATTGATTTTAAATGTCGCGTGACGTCACTTCTATGTACATTTTATACGTAGAAATGACGTTTTAGCCCCCACTCCTAAACTGATTCGTTTTATCTAAATATTGTTTTTTATACGACAAAATAAAAAATACTTATCTAATATTTTTTCATTGTCATCATCCCAATTCCAAACTCCTATTATCTAAAACAAAAATAGAATACATGCAAACAAAAACCAAATAACAAGCAAATATTTATTGAAATCTGATTCGTAGAACACTTCTCACACAAATAGTAGCAACAAAACAGTAACAGTATTATTTCAAATCAAAGGCCGGGCTATGGGAACCTGTGCATCTTTCAAATATTTTTTGTGACTGTATTGACAAACTGCTGGACACGTTAGAGCACATCGAGAGGCATGCTAAGAAGCTCATCAACGATGATGCGATTGTGGAAGCCCGGCTTCAAAGCCTCGAACACAGGCGTAAGGTTGCAAGCCTTTCAGTTTTCTACCGGGTGCATTTCTTTGAGTGTGCAGGGGAATTGCACAACTTCATTCCCCCTAGTCCCTTCCATCATCGTAACACAAGATTATCGGGGAAGCGTCACCGATTCATGGTAGATGTCCCACTCACACGCACGAAGCACTTCGCATCAAGCTTCCTAGTGCTTACAGTGGGATTCTTTGCCAGAGTCTGTATGTCCTGAAAGGTAAAACCTAAGTTTTCAAGGCCCGAGAAAAGGTTGCTTGTAGGACCACCAAGCGAGATAGTCTTCAAAGAAGGTCGGCCAATCAAATATAAAAAATACTGCATCAAAATCTTTCTCTGCTTCAATAACTAAACTCAAAAGACCTACTTAATAAATCACTAACGCACATTTCAAAAGCTGCATAACATTTTAGATATTTACCTACGCTAAAGTATCCTGTTACATTAGCCACACGTGCGTCACAATCTATGATCAGATTACCACACGAGGCGGGTCCAATCGGTGGTTGGTCACAATAGGTGAGCGGTCACAGTACCGGACTTGATAAAGATGTATTATGGCCAGCATTTACGTTACATATACGCGACTTGCTCACGATTGACCTGTCCATGTGCGTTGCAAAACGTAACTTAAGCAAGGTACACATGAACGGAAATGCGTTGTATGGAGTTATCTAGGTTTGAAGATGTCGAAGAAACTTTTTTTCTTTTTAATTGATTTGTTATTAGGTAAGCGTAGGTCTATTGAGTTGACCGCGATAATTTGTCAGTACTAGTGGATTATTTCTAACTGTAAAAGTACAATAATGTGCAAAAAGTTATGTTGTTCCATCATCAGTAACACGAGTATCTGTACTAGATGGGTTTATTAAAATAAATATTTTGTACTAACATTACCACCGAAAACAAAAAGTTTCAATGTGAATTTACGTGGGCGAGTGATATTTCATCGTGACATCTGTCATGTTATGTGACTATGTGACGACTTGGAATATCTCGGCCAAGCATCTTGACCTTGGAAAATGAACACGATATGTATCATTTTTTACTACAGTTTTGACTTTGACAAGGTCTAGTACAAAGGGGAAGCATGTTTTCTTGAATGAAGTAAGATTACATTAAGGTTAAGGACAGGAAGTACGTAATAATAGTTTGACCGACCTGAAAATCAAAGGCGAAACCTCAGCTCAATAGTCATCTACAATCATTAAATGTACCTAGAAACATTCGAAATAGGCGCCTCGCTCTTTCTTACAATGACTAAAGTTTAACGTCTTAAAAATTAAACTCAATACTACCATACGAATACCGAATCAAGTTTCCGACCTGTCCTAACCGAATATTCAATCATAGTGACTCATGCAACTACAACTACTGACAAAAACCTGTAATGAAATCAACAGAACGAATAATTAGCTCGCCGCATCGTTAATGTGGGAATTAAATAAAGTCATAGCACCACAGCCTTTTCCCTAGATTGAGTAAGAAAAGGTAGAAGATGGTCAATTACTGGATGAGTAGATTATTTAGAAATAAGATACCTATAGGTATTTATGTGAACCCCAAGTAGCTTGGGATAAATGATGAAGACAGAAAGAAGACAATCTCCCCAATCCCCAAATCCCCAAAAATCCTCAAATTCCTAATCCCAAAAGGCTGGTCCTCGACTCGATCTGGAAGGCTGGTCTCGATCCGTGGTGATCCATCTTCTCGTTTACCGGCTTATTCCATAAAACCTGGAACACCATAGGCGTTACAAGTGCGTTACCGGCTTTTTGGGGATTAGGAATTTGAGGATCGTTGGGGATTCAGGGATTGTGGAGATTAGGGAAGGGGAGGGTAATTGGGCCTCCGCTAACCTCACTCATACGACGAAACATAACGCAAGCGTTGCTTCACGTCGGTTTTCTGTGAGGCCGTGGTAAGTATCACTCCGGTCGAACCGGCCCATGCGTGCCGAAGCACGGCTCTCCCACACTTAAAAATATTATATATCTTGTATTTCATTGTTTTTCTTCTATTTTATTTTATTTTGCATCTACCACCCATTCCCAGATTATTTTCAAAAATTCCATCCAAAGGTTGTCTGGAAGAAATCGCCGCGTATGATAAGACCGCCCATTGTACTGAAATTACTATTGCAATGTTTACATTTTTTTATGTGTGTGCAATAAAAAATAAATAAATAAATATCTATTTGTTGGAAAATTAAAAGCTATTACAGAGAACTTTAGGAACAACAAACTCGCCACGCATAGAATTCCATGCTCAACAAACTGCTTAGGTACGATTTTTCATTTTATTTATTTTTTTATCTTTTAGTTAAAGTGTCTCTTAAGTTGTACATATTTTTTTCCTCTCCGTATGACAATTTTATAAAAATCTCAGTTTTAGTAATAAGAGGGGTCACGAACTACAATATCATGCAACTAAATCCTAGGCGGGCTAGATACATGTACACCAGCCTTTTGAAATACCAGTATATTGCCCTTAAACAAAAGCACTAGACTATACAGACTTGCATAACTGAGATACTAAAGTTTCATATGAAACTGTATGCACGCCACAACTAATCTAGGCTGTCATAAAGTTTATCTACTGCACGAATCAACACTGTCTAGATAATGCAGGGCGACAAGAAATAAAAGGGTTTTTCAAGGTTATTCAATCCGGTTATTATATAATATTAATATGGATCTGTAGATGTGATGTTTTTACAGAAAGATTGTTTCATTTGTTTTGTCTTTGTTCCATTTACCTCTCGTTAGAAATTTTATCAAAATGAGTTTTGCAGTTTATGTATTGTAGAATAAGTTTTCAACTTGCAGGTTCATTGTATCGTCTAGAATTATTAGAAAGATTGTAAAGAATCTTTACGAAGACTTCTAATTGTAATTCAGATATCATACAACACAACATTTAAAAAAAAAAGGATATAAGAATCGAGAACGAGTTTTTAATCTCGTAAACGCAAATAAATAATGATCTTAACACTGACATTACATTATTGTAAGTCCTAATTTCCCCAAGGACGGTTTCACACAACTCCGTAGATGACAATAAAACATCGTATCACTAAAATGTAACTAAATAAAACGGGTCTTACGTCATAGGCGTAAAGTCGGTCAACTTATAATTTGGTCCTAATCTAACAAGACAATGTTGATTACTCCATCTAAATCGATCATGATTGTAATGACCGATAAAATCAAAAGCTTTACTAATATCAGTAGATTTTGAATAAGATAGAGACAGAAGCTGTGCAAACTTAACAATGAAGACAAATTAATTAGCCGTAAGATACTTAAGATTAGTTTGTGAGTGAGTTGCAGGAAATTTGTACCAAGAACTCAGGCTCACACCATTGACGGAGTCTGGATAGTGATTTCTAAACTAGTTTATTACTTAATCAGGAACTAAGTAATTAGAAGGAAATATGATTCATTCAACTAACAATAGTTTGTTGTTTGTTATGCGTCGGGATTGCGTCAAAATTACCATGCATTCGTTTTTTCCTCGGAATTGTCTTTGAACTACGAGTAGCTTGAAGGTTTATTCTCCAGCTTCTCGGCGTATAGCGTGCAAATTCCAATTGTTATCATATTTGGTGACAAGTTTTGACGTTATTAATAGAATACTTACGATTATTGCTATGACTTAGGGCTTCAGGAAATTAAAAAATAAATTACAAAAATTATTCAAGGCAAAAGGACCAACTTGGAACAATGCATAACTGCAATATTGGTCAGAACAGGTTACGGGATTACTTTAAAAATGTTGCAAGAAAAAATAGTTTCGATTTAACAAGCTTCCTCTAAAGCAAGTCATGCCACAGTCGTCATAACACACAGGATATTATATCCTTGAGAATTTTCCCGCGAATGAAAGGACCGATTCTATCGGCCTACTTTTCTGATGTCTAAATTATACCAAACTTAATCAGCAATAGATTGTCAAGTACTGTTTTACTAACTGTTTTTATTGTACTTTTAAGTTTCAATAAAATAATTTCCATCTTTGTAATTTACTTTAAAGAACCTTCCCTTGATAACAATTTTTATTTTTGTACTAAAGGTTGAATAAATCTTTTGCAGTGCCTTTCATATATCACCTTGTAGGTTTTGATAAGAAAATATCATCCATAATTTACAATATGCTCCTAATGGTATGGTTTGTAAAGTTTTCGCATATGTTACATATTAGTTAGGTGGCATACATTTTGGGCGGTCAATTTGTAACAGGGTTCTAAGTAGAACTTGCGATACTAGACCACATTTGGTACATGCGCCTGCGCTTGCGGGGGTAACGAGTCTAGTATAAAAGTGCTTGTGTGTACACAGACCGTATCACTTGCCGTAGTGGATTTTATATATCATAATGGCTGCTAAGGTACTTTGTTTGTTTCATAGTGTTTTGTGTAAAATGACATTTAATTATTTTTTTAAGAATTGAAGTGAAAGATTTTTACCATTATTTATAAGTTTTCAAAACAATCTCAATTTTCACGTAAAATGGGCGGAATGCATTTAGAAACTCGAATATATTTGAGAATTTTCATGAAAGAAGCAAATACATTTTTAATCACAGAAACTAGACATCGTATAAGATTCAATTCATAAATGTTTCATGCAAGACTATAGTGTAAATTGTAATCATAATATAAGATTTTAATTTTAATATTAATTATTATTTATTTATTTCAGTTATTAGTCCTTTTGTGCGCGTTGGCGACAGCCCGTGCTGGTGGCCTTTACGCAGCCGCTCCCGTGGCGTCTTACGCCGCCGCTCCATTGGCATCATACGCCGCAGCCCCAGTCTACAAGAGCTACGCTGCTCCCGCCGTAGCGTACTCCGCTCCCGTCGCGTACTCAGCGCCCGTTGTGAAGGCGGTTGCACCTGCAGTGTCATCCATCTCTTCATACTCCACTCACACCGCACACGCCGCACCTCTGGTGGCTAAGTCTTACGCTCCTCTTGCCACTTACGCCGCTGCTCCCGTAGCAACATACGCCGCACACGCCGCTCCCGTGGCGTACGCTGCACCCGCCGCCTACGCTGCTCCAGCGTACAGTCACGCGAGCTACGCCGCGCCTGCTGCCTACGCCGCTCCGGTTGCCACATACGCCGCTGCCCCCGTCGCCACATACGCCGCTGCTCCCGTGGCGTACGCTAAATCTTACGCTGCTCCTGCGGTAACTTACGCTCACTCTGCACCCGTGGCCGCATACGCCGCTGCTCCCGTTTACAAGTCCGCCCTGACTTACTCCGCGGCTCCTGCTGTCTCTCACGTGGCTTACAACGGCCTTTCGTCTCACTACGGCTGGTGATCGCCTTAAACTTTGTACAAATCTAGTTGTTTATGTTTTGTATATATACTTTTATACAATGAAAATAATAAAGTTAAATTGGTAAATCTGTTTATTTACTTCATTCTCCTTTAGTTTCGCTTTTTTAACTTCTACTTATTTTATTAAATTACTGTTAAAACAGAAATCTGAACAAACGCTGTAAAAAGATCCCTATAAAGTATGAATTATATTTATATACCTCTACTTACATAAGTATTTTAAATGATACTCTTTTCTACAAATTTTAATACATCACGAGTTTCTAACAGGAAAAGCAAAATCCGCTACGAATTATTTCATTTTTTACAAAAAGTACTTCCAAATATTCTGCTGATCTTATCAACATAACTATTTAAGATCTAAACAAACGATAGTGCGTATAACATTCTAAAGTTATAATTAATACAAACAAAATATTTAATTGGTATATAACTAATCAACATTTTTTACAAAGTCCGTCAAATCTTGCAGTATGACGTGTTAAAATCACGATAGTCATCACTATAATCACTATCATTGTCTTGACCAAGGCTCCGACTAGATGTCGAAAGTGTAAGAACTAGCAAAATGTACGCAAAATTGACCTTTATTTCGTAGTCTACGAGAGTTTTGCAGAGGCCTTGTGTTAAGTCACGCAAGATGATGACAAATCTGACAGTAATATAACAATGTGTCTATAGATTTGTTTTAATTTTATACTTATTTGGCGATCCAAATCACAGACTGATGTTAGAAATAATACACGGTGCGAGAACGAGAGTTTTTTCAGCATTTGTGCACTGCTTTACAAGCCATATTCCAATAGACGATGCACCACGCTTAGTTAAAACTTGTCCCTAGTTTCTACTAGATATTAAATAGTACTTACCGGCCGTCGAGTACAAAATACATTGAAAAGTTATCTAACTAGATGTCTAAATCACGATCAAAACTAAAACTTATTTTCAAATAAGTACAATTGTGAAGGTTGCTATGAGTAGTCACTATACCTATATGGATAAATAAAATTGGAGTGTCTTTTTATAATATACCTATGAATAGCCGCTTTTTACTACATGCATATGAATATACATGCGCATACCAACTTTTACAATAACATTTTTTTTAATTTTTGTCTGACTTGCTGTTTGCACTGGCTCTCTCTCTTCTAATCTCTGGAATGGCTGGACCGATTTTGCAAGACTTTTATAGGCAGGTAGCTGACGTACTAAGGAGTAACACAAATTAATTTTATTCTGGAACCAAAAAATAAAGTTATGTTCTAAAATTCATATTCTACGCGGACTAAGTCGCCGGCAACAGCTAGTTTTATAATATACCAGATTTATAAACTATTTAAAATACTGTCAATCTAAAATAAATCGAAACTAAAAAAGAAAATCTCGAAAATTTTAAAGATGTCGTTTAGATAAGATCTGTATTAGTAAGCAAAGAACAGAGGCCTATGAAATATCCTTGACTCATACCCAGTCAAAGGCCATAATGAACATGAAACGCGTCATTTAAAACAATTGCGGACGCAAGGACCAAAATATGTTACTTCACAGAAATATTTCGCAATTTTTCTCACTTGACATAGATTACATTTTAATAGTGTCCATTTAAATTGGAGCTGTGTAAAGACAGATTATTCAAAGATTACATTAAATGTTTATTTTCCATATAAGAACCAGTGATATAGTGTTATAGGTAGACAGATAGGATTCTAGTAACGGGCAGTCAATTTTATTTTGCACATCACATCTCAAATAGCGAACTTAATAGAACTAAACTTTGTAACATCACAGATTACCTATGTATAACTTAATTAAAGGGTGAGATTTTCTTTACGGGATGAGTTGGTAACCGAGCGGACAGATCACCTGATGGTGAGCAATCGACGTCGCCCATGGACACCTGGAACACCAGAGCCGTTGCAAGTGCAATACCGGCCTTTTGGGGATTAGACATTTGACGATTATTGGGGATTCAGGACTTGTAATTGGGCCTCCGGTAACCTCGCTTACACGACGAATTACACTTGAAAATTGTGGCTTTAGATTCCGTAATTACTGATCATGTCAAACAAGATTGAATAACAAAGCTCAAGACATACAAGGCTTAAATCGATTATCGGTTTGAATTGACAATAACGAATCGAAAATTCGAATAAAAAATATGTCAACAACCTTATAAACGAGTAATTCTCACATAAATACGATTTATTGCACAAATAATTCGCACACGCCTGCGGCCAGCGCTCGCACAACGTTCATTCAGAAATAAAATGGCTTCTGGTCACATTTTTTGAATACTGTGTCAATTGGGCGACAATTTTATGATGAACGAGTAGTTATTACGTATGATACAAGTCATATTTGTAAGTGGATATTAACGACGACCATATTACTTGTCGAAAAATGTTTTAAAAATGGCACGGTGCTTTAATTTGGACTCAGGTTTACATTCGATTTTTATACCTTACTGCAACTAATAAATATCTAGTAGGTAAATCCATAAAATCCAATAATAATTACTTCTTAAACCAATTTAATTAATTCATAGCTTTTAGGCCTATCTAAGTGATACCAATGATAACATTAGACATACAATGAATATAAAACTTATTGCAAAAGTTCCACAATAAAATATATGTTTATATACCAGAGATATCGCCACAGACCTATTTAACGATCATACAATTCATCTAGGAAAAAACTTGGTACAGTGCCAAAACATATGAGTATTTTTTCGGTTTGTTACGTATAAGTTCGTACATAGGAACACTTTATTTATCTACTTTCATAGCCAGTAAGCGGTAGGGAAGTTGTTTGAGAACCTAGATATTACAGTTATATATCATTATGATTAGTGTCCCAAGTTCTGTATCTAGTTATTTTATTTCCATAATATTATACTGAAGTTTTGTTTGTGTATCTGTTTGTTTGTTTGTTTATCTTATTACTTGTTCTTTGTTTAATAAACTGAACATGATGATAACATCATGTAATGTCCACAAAGGTATCTACAATTTACATAGACAGACCCACGCTGTTGATCCATGGGGGTTCCTCTTCTTCAGCATCTAACACACTATAGTATATAGCATATCAAGTCACAAAAACACACTGTTTAAGAGAACTTTCTCGTATTATCTGCACTTGGCCTTTTCCATTATATCTCTGCTGGTGTTACAACGATCATCAGGTTTTGAAATTGTGCAATTGATTTTTATTCAAAATGTCTGCCATAATTCGTAAAATTTAAATGTAAATGTTACTGACAAAAACTAGCATAATTCTTAAATAAATACTCTTGTCTATCATTTTGCGGGAAACAAGCATGTCATTATGCCTGTAATGTCCCAACAGACATATTACTTAGGCTGACACTCGCAGGCGTGTTGAGAAATTATTTAGACAAGAACTAGTACTATGTAGATGGAGGTTCTGTCACAAAAAGGTCTATTTTATTGTGACAACACATGTTGCATGTCAACGGACAAACTTGTTATCCTTATTGTAGTATAATGAAATCTGGTCCTTCTGTCCGCGGTGTTGTAACTGCTTAGGTACCATAGTAGTATTGTGGCAGTTCTATGTCGAAATGTGGCCAACATATATATATATATATATATATTATGATTCTGAGACTTCGGAAAATCTAAAACTAAGATTCGTATCTTAGAGTTGTTTTTGCAAAATATTTATTACTTATATGACTAATTTTAGAAAACCTCATGCGTTAGAAAATAACTTGTTGCATTTTGCTCAAGAAATCGACCAAATTAAAATTGAAGTTAAATTTCGATCGAAACTCTAAATAGTTTATAATAATCTTTGATTAAATGCAAGTACTACGATTTTCTAACGAGCTTTACAGTATAACTATCCTAAACACAATTAATTCAACAAGTAACCTTTAAGTAGATTAGCAAATATTAATTACTTTAAAATATCACTCTTTATCTAGTAAACATTTTTACTAGACTACTTTTCATTTACTTTGACTTCAGTAACTGCTTACAATTTCGTATGGCTTGACTTTTCTCGATCGAAATCATGACTAACCGAAATAAACTTGAAAAAGGACCAAAAGAAAATTCGTTAATCTGATCACGCTTTAGCAAAACAAACTCAAATACACTAGTACTATAATTAAGGTCAATCAACTCACATAATCAAAATATTATATCAAATACAATATAATTAAAAAATAAAAGCAGTCACACAACCCATGTCACTAATAATAGATACTAGCACCTAATATAAGTTTTAGATCATTAGTCATATTGCTAAAAATATTTATTTAGAAACGAAACGCCGCAGGGCAACATAGTATGCAAGTTGATAAACATATTACAAAATATATGTAGATATTAAACATACGTATGTAAGTACGTACATACACATCGAGCTAAGCAAAACCAGTATAAACTGACCGTCATCTGTACGGAAATATCATATATAGTGAGACCTTGATTAACTGGTTTTTGTTAACTCTGTGTGTAGTCGTGTGTACCTAGTTTTTGCTCGTGACTCGTTATCGAGTTGCCTGCCAGCCTATGGGTCAGCGACCTCTTTGCAACTTTTGACCTTAGGATATACTGCCTCTTTGATAGCAAATTAACCTAGGTACTTAATAATGGATTTTTAGCTCATTTACTTATTTGTATTGATTTTCACTGAAAAAATCTGTTCCTAGGTAGGTAGGGCAATACAATGTTTATCCTACTAATATTATATATGAGAAATTTGTGAGGATGTATGTGTGTGTGTGTTTGTGACTCTTTTACGTCAAAATGGCTGAAGAGATTGAGATAAATTTTGGAACAGTGGTAGGTCCTGGAATAATACTTAGGTCACTTTTTATTCAACGGGAACACGGAAGAAGCCCCTGGTAAAAAGCTATTACTTAAAAAAGTTGGTAAATCCAACAAAAAATTACTTTACCTAAGCAGCGGACCAAGTGATTGCAAAGGTCCGCACTGGACTAATAATCCTTATCTCGAATCTTCCACCTCGTTCCTTCCTTAATGGATTGACATGCTCTGGTGATAAAAGGAAACGTATCTCAGAAGCAGAACAGGTATTACTTTAGCCACTAGCTCACACTTACTCCACTAATATCTTATCCAGTTTGACAAGTAAATTAAAAGGCTGATATATAAACTTATAAAAGAATTAATGACCGATAACGTCTTATATTTGCAATTCAATGCTACATGGCTTTTATTTCAATTCAACTATAATTAGGTACTTCGGAATCGTCAAAAATTTAATTGTCCATTCGACAGTCTGTCTGTTAGGCGCTCGTTCTTAAGTGTAGTTTCGAATGGAAAAGAACGAGTAAGAAATTCCATTGTCGCTCTAGTTTTATTCTCGAATCATATAAAGTTTTATTGTAATAGTTAAATCCTTAATTTATTCTTAACTTAACACTAATTATTACAACAATATCAGAGAAAAAATATTATAAAACAGTAGTCGCAACAACTATCTATTTTTTTATAGCATAAGCCGGTAAACTAGCAGACGAATCACCTGATGGTAAGCAATCGGTGTCGCCCATGGACACCTGGAACACCAGAGGCGTTACAAGTACGTTACCGGCCTTTTGGGGATTAGGAGTTTGAGGATCGTTGGGGATTCAGGGATTGGGGAGATTGGGGAAGGGGAGGATAATTGGGCCCCCGGCAACCTCACTCACACGACGAAACACAACGCAAGCGCTGCTTCACGTCGGTTTTCTGTGAGGCCGGGGTATCACTCCGGTCGAGCCGGCCCATTCGTGCCGAAGTATGACTCTCCCACACTTTTTTATTGTGGTTAGTTGCATAAGCTTCCAAACAACCACGTGAGGTCCTAAAGAGATTAAACACCAGTAATGGCTTTATTTATAGATATAGAAGATCGTTATAAATAGCAATTGACATTTATCTATGCACCCTGATATAATAATAGGTCACTCGAAACATGTGCAGGTAAAATTCCATCAAATTTTAAAATATTATGACAATCTGCATATTCAATATATTAATGATATCTATATTAGATACATTTCAAATGACAATACAATATATTATTTAATCAATGATATAATAGTCGACCTTGAAATAAATCACAGTTTATCAAAATGTCATTTAGATTCATCGATAGGATACAAAATAAGCAAAATACGAAATAGTTTAAATATATTATTTTTCTTGAATTAAATAATTAATCTACATAATAATTATGATATCGTCCACTACACATATATCACAAAATATCACACATGTTAGTTACCTAAGAAAGTACACAATAAAATAAAATCAAGCCCTTATATTAAGTATTCGCAGAAAGCAAACACAGGTAGATCAGCTTAGTACAGTGTAAAGTAAATAGTATTGCAAAATCGACAACTATACTAATCATCATTGATGCTATAATTACGTATCAAAGGACCACTAAACAATTCAATCAATAACCTCTCCTTTCATAATTTATTCGTACTTTTTTATTGTGATTGAAAAATAATAATAACGGAAAAAATAAAAAACATTTTCGACACGCGAGAACTGTGGAGGTTTAGCGTTGAATGAACTCCGAAATAAACAAAAAAAAACGTGAGCCGACACCATTGCAACACAAATAAAATGCACATTCTTACTTCCTGTATCATTAACCATTTAAGTATAGACTAAATTAGTTCACCTTCAGTTTACATTTTATTATTTTAATGTTATAAAAATTATAAAAATATTAAAAGAGACCTTATGCACACCATTTGTAATACGATTATGCGCCATTTTACTAAAATTACCTAGAAACTTGACAATAGCGAGGCCACTTTGTTTCCTGAGATTTCGTATAATATATAAGCTGACATTTTTCGTTTGCCTAACATTCAACGCATTATATTCCACGAAACCACAACAAAATGATCGCTAAGGTAAGATTAGTGATTAAATAAACGTCGCTTAGATGCATCTTTTCAAGGATATAAACAAATATGCCAATATTAAATAGTGTTGCGTTAACAGTGCAGTGTGCAAGTTCTAGTGGTGCCAATAGTGATTCATTGTTTTGTTTTCGGAAGACTATCTTCTTTCTTTTCTGATCTGAATGTAATGCCAGACAAATAACATTTTTGAGCGACATTTTTATAGCTAATTTGGACGGACATCAACCAAACCAATTCAAGTGCCTATATATAACTTTAATACTTGTAACTCTTTGTTATTTAGCTTAGATTAAAAATTACATCGTAACTCGTTCATTCCGGGAAATAGCGCGAAAAATAGTTTCATAGGGCAGCCATAGTGCTGACATTTTTTGCCATCGTTCAAAAACTTTTGAACGCGTTAGAATTTGGCGTATAGCCGACAACTGGAATTTTCGACCTAACGCTTCCAAACTGACAGGATTGGTTGAACCTAACTGACAGTATCGTGACGTAAAATTCATTGTGAACTAGATGTAATCCAGAAGGACCAGTAAAAGACCGATAAAAGAATACACTGAAATGGTCCTACCATTTGGAAAAGTTGTTGCTTGAATGTGACATTACTATTGATAGTACTTTTTGTCTTATATTGACTGCATAATTAATTTGCGACTAACGCTTAGGCAGGTATTTTTTTTTCAATTACTCATAAAGGCACTGGGAGTCCAGACTGCAAAAATAACACTTCCTATTTTTGTGTCTAAGTTATGGTCGTCTAGATTAGTGAAATGGTGACGTTAGCACACTTTTGGAACTGTGCCAAAATGTATTTTTTCTTCAGGCATCCGAAAATTACTTTTGTGCCTGAAAATTGATTTTTTATAGATTTCCTGGCTTCGTAGCCTATAAACGGCAAATAATAGTTTACTCTTCATTACTATTGACTTTGCTTACTCTAGTTAGCTTTGAGCTAGATTTACGTGCTCATCCAAATGACCATACAAGTTATGTATTTTCATATACTTACCGAGTCACTATAATCAGATTAGTTATATGAGATTTTATTTAAACAAAATCGTAATATAGTTTTGTAGTTAGCGGATATCTAAGGACCGAATTTATCTATATAGAGGCACCAAACATTAAGAAATTTAAATTACCTTTTATCCTTCATTATTTTTGTTGACTATGACAACCTAAATTTGTCGGAAAATAATGTAAAACCTCAATATTTACAAAGAATTTACAAATCAAAATTAAATTTAGTCTCACCCGAAAATCGAACCCTAAATTTTCTGCTGTATAATCAAAGTTATCAAAACCTCATATTATAATTGTTATAGTCACTTTAAAACAATTATAAGTTTTAATACATTAAGTGCCGCTGTTTACTTTTTAATTGCAGTTACCATCTTTTAATGTTTTAACATCCCGTTAAAGTAATTATAATTAAGAATTAGCGTCAGTTTAAAAAACAAAGAGGTTTTTATAATATTTTAATTATTAAATGCAATGAGCCAGTTTGTTCATAATATTTGCACTTTCAAGTTAACTCAAGTATAAAAAGTTGAAATATGTTTTTTGCTGAGGAAATCCCATTTAAATACAATGTTTTTTATTCGCTACCACATAGTTTTTTACGTTAAACCAGTTATTTAGTATGCATGTACGAAAATAAAAAAATATTCAATAAAGAGGCAGTGACCGCAAGTGCAACTGCCGGGCAAGGGGTTTCGGTGTGATACCCAGGTCGGGCAAAGTATTACTGGGTTTGCAAAAACCTCAGTAGTAGCACGGAGTCTGAAAATGTGCCCGGTATATGGCAATAGGCTCACCCCCTATTACATGGGACTCATAACGTAAATAGTGAAAAGTGGGTGTTACATTGTACAGTGGCATTAAGTGCCGTAATGTGCACCTCTGCCTACCCCTTCGAGGATAAAAGGCGTGATGTTATGTTATGTTAAAAACCATATACTTTATTGTAGCACTAGCTACTGTCTCTATAATAATGCTGAGTCAATTTTTATTTTGTTACATGCAAACCAAAATGCTGGTCGTAGTGGGCCAAAGGTGTAAGACGCCCGCTTCTCATGGATGAGAGTACGGGTTAAAACCTACCAACGGCCAGTACTAATGTGACTTTTTCCGAGTTATATATACTTTCTAATATCATTTAGACACCACTGACAAAACGGTGAAGGAAAACATCGTGAAGAAACCGGTGAGTGCGGGGGAATAGCACAACTTGATTCCCCCTAGTCCTTTCCATCATCGTACCACAAGACAATCGGCGAAGCGTCACCGATTCATGGTAGATGTTCCGCCCACACGCACGAAGCGCTTCACTTCAAGCTTCCTTGTGCGTACTGCTAAAGAGTGGAATTCTTTGCCAGAGCCTGTATTTCCTGAAGGGTACAACCTGGGAGTCTTCAAGGCCCGAGTGAATAGGTTGCTTATGGGACGACGTGCTACATCGTAGACCGCATCATCGCTTACCACCAGGCGAGATAGTGGTCAAACGTCGCCCCATCAGATATTAAAAAAAAAATCCTGGACATATAATTTCTAATTATAAGTTTGAAATCACGAATTGAGCAAGAGTGGTGATTAATGCTCAAATTCTCAAACCTTGTCCATGTGAGAAGAGGCTATGGCTCTCGGCAGTGGGCATTTATAGGCAGTTGATCTGATGATATGATACTAAATAACTGTCCTAACTATACATACAAATCTTCGTCAGTTTCGTCAAGTTACAAATTTTAAACCAGATTATTAACTATGATTCAGTCTTACCTAACCTAGTTCTTAGTAACGGTGGCCTTTAACAGATCAGTCAGTCAGTACAGGTTTTAAATCTCAACCATCAGCTAAAGCTTTCATAATATCTGTCACATAAGCAATCAATATCATCGTAAATCATTTATGGCTAAAATATGATTGACTTTAAGTTGGTCAGCGACTAAGTTTGCTTGCAAATTTTCATGTGAATAAGAGACCGTGTTCTACAACATACAATATAACATCACTCCTGTTAATCCCAAAGAGATAGGCCGAGGTCCCCACATTACGGCACTTAATGTCACTGTACAATGTAACACCTACTTTTTACTATTTATGTTATGAGACCCACGTAATAGGAGTCAGCCTATTGCCATAAACAGGGCACAATTTCAGACTACTGAGAATTTTTAAAAACCGGTATTACCTGGCCCGACCGGGAAATCGAACCCAAGACCATTGCCCGGGAGTCGCACTTGCGACTACTCGGTCAACGAGGCAGACCATGTTCTGTTTCATAGATGGTCCTTTTTTTAATTAGCAATGACATTTGGACGGTCTATAAACTTTGTTACTACTGTCTGTAGTGTAAAAATTATTGAAGCTCTTTGCTCTTATAAATACCATAGAAGCCTAAATTATACATATTTATTAACAGCGTAAAGTTTTAATACTTGTCATACAAAATAGAAATAGGACCGTGAATATAAATAGCAGTGAAAAGTTACAAATAGAAGTCTTTCGGTCAAGTAAATACTTATAATAAAATTAAATATCGTGAGACATACTAAATTAAGTAAAAACGCGGGTTATTCACGTGAGTAACCCGCGTTTTTACTTAATTAAGTAAATACTTGATAGACATAACA